CCCCAAAACCCCAAAACCCCATAGCACATGAATCTTGGTAGAAATAGTAAAAAATATTATTATTTATTCCCAAACATATTATTTAATGAACTAACAAAGAGACGGATCAGGAACAGAGGATACATTCTTGCTTGGAGATGGTTCCAAAAACTCACATATATTAACTAACGAGAAAATTCAGCAGAACTCCAGAATTACAGATGGTATGAAATAACTCTTAACTGTTGAAGATGAGATGTCAAAGCCAATTTTCTCTCCATCAAGCCCAGGAAGACGTAAATTTGCTGACATTGTATAACTTTCCCTCCTTATTTATTATTTTTGCAGATGATGTCCCCTGTGAGATTTACGTAAAGAAAATTCAGAGCTGGAGGCACTTCAGGATCAATATTTTCGCTTGTAGCTGCAACTCTAGGTGCGGGAACATTGACATTCCCCTACGCTATAATGTAAAATGGAATAGCTTGGGGTTCTATATTAGTTGTGCTCGGTGCCATGATTTCCTATTACACTGGGATGCTGCTTGTTATTGTCAGCAATCATACTAATAGACACAGATACGAGGATCATGCCGAGATCTTATTTGGAAGAAAAATGGCAATATTCACTTCAATTATGAATCTGTTTTGTCTAATGGGCTTTATCATGTCGTATATTGTCTACGTAATCATTTGGATTTTCAGATATTTAATAGATTAAAAATGCTGTCGTTAAGATAATTTTATTGTTTGCAGAGCCAGATTTCTCTTTTATAGTTGATGATACTTGGGGCCCTCGTTTTTGGGGAACTGTATTTGCGGTAAATTACATATTATAGAAATTTTTATTTTTTCAGTTTGGAATTCTGTTCCCAATTTCATTGCCAAGATCAATTAACTAATTGAGATTTTCTTCTGTTTTCGGAGTACTGTGTTCAGTTTATCTTTGTATCGCAGTCATTATCCTTTTCTGGACCAATAAAGCATTAGTACCTGACCCTATAGAAAATTGGAGAGAAGCAAGATACTTCAGAGTAAGCCTCATTTTTAGCTAAAATCTTATCAGTTTGATTTTTCTGGAATTGTCAGCTCTGTCCCACTAATCATTTTTGCATATATGTATTAGGTCAACATTCCACAAATTTATTATGAGCTAGAAAGAAGAAATAGAAAGTAAATGAGCAATGTATTACTAAAGGGCTCAGGTGCTGCAGTTATCTTATATGCATTGATTGGAATATTTGGCTATCTTACTTTTGTAAACACCCCTGGACAGCCAACTACAAATATTCTTGAAGCTCCATACTAAAAGAATGTGGCTATCACTATAGTAAAACTATAATATTATCATCTATTTTTAGGGAAACTTTACACTGTTCTTTGCTGTTTTAACAGCATCTCCACTATGTGTATTGCCTACAAAAGATACAGTTGAGGAGTTATTCTTTAAAAAGACTGGGCTAAATAAGAAAACAAACATTCTTGTGACCTTAGGTATTGTTGTAGTTTGCTATTTCCCAGCTATATTTATTGGAAATATTGGTGATGCAATTACTATCTTTGGATGTACAACTAACCCAATGGTAAGCAATTATTAAATTCCTCTAATTGACTATATATAGATTGGCTTTCTTTTACCTATCGTATATTATCTGTAGGTAAAATAAGATCAACCAAGGTTTTGTAAAGAAAAGATTTTAGCCTATATAGTAGGATTATTAATTATAGTTGTCTCAATTTTAGGACTATACGACTTTATTAGGCAAAAGGTTTAGGGCTGATTAATAGCATACATAAGACTTAATGAATATCAAGGAAGTTTTCATAAGAATATTTTATCATTTATCTATCTCATTTATAATCATAACCACCATTTAAAGTGTCGGGGTTTTGGGGTTTTGGGGTTTTGGGGAGATCGGAAGAGCACACGTCT